TATATATATATATATATATATATATATATATATATATATATCATTTGATCAATTAAAACTTTTACCTACAAGACATTGTTCTCTATGCACTATCCATCTCAATTTATAGAGAAATCTGTTTTAATGTTGTTGTACCTGTTCAAATTTTGTTTAGTTTTACTTTTTGAAGATTTTAGATCTATCTCTCCACAAAAAATTTAAAAAAAACTTTTCCTAGAACCAATTATCATCTACAATAAGCACTACCTTGATCAAAAAACTGGATCCAAATTCCATTTTACTTAGATAAATTTCTAAATTAATAGCTACTACTATTAGAATAATTCATCTTATTTAAAATTATAATCATTATACTACATACAAATTATCCTCAAAACAATCATCCAAATACTTGTTCATATTCATCATATTCACCTTGAACAATGCCCCATGGGTACTGACGAGCTTTCACCATCTTATTTCCAAGTTTAACCTCTTCCATACTGCCCACAACAGCAAATGGCAAATGTCCCTGGAAAAGATTTCTTGTTGTCAATTTCACATTCTCATACCAATGTGAAAACAGATACAAAGTTTCCAAGTATTTGGATGAAAAAATATAATAATGGAATTACTCAAAACAATATTATTTACATTTTGCATTGTCTTAAATTTCTAAAACTAGGTTTCACAGCTCATAATATACATAATAATAATAACAATACACATTTACCAAACATTTATTAAATGCTTACTATGCTCAAGGTACTTAAAGATACAATGTCACATAAAAAAAAATCCATTCCCTGAAGGAACTCACATTTTACTTCCACCTAACAATAACTTAGAACTAACTGTACAGCAGCCCCTAAAACAAATTTTTAGAGAAAAAAAACAAACCTATGTACACAAATTTAAAGTTTCATCTGGATTGTGAACATTTTCTCCATCACATTCCTAAGTATAGACAATCTACAAAACAAATTAAGCCCTGATTTTTAGAGTATGCCAATTTCTGATGCATAACAAATGTAACAATCAGTTCACCAATAGTTTGTTTTGGCTCCAGCACACTCTGCTTATAAACCAGAAAGACAATAATGTAGGCTAACATATTATAAAGTGCCAAATGAATAACAGACAATAAGTGCTACAGAAAGGAGTGAAAAGAAGAGGGACAAATAAAAGACTTAGACTAGAATTTGAAGAATTCATAGGATTTCTATAGGTGGTGAGGAGGGCAAAGAAATTCCAAGCAGAAAAATGAATAAAGCAAAGGCTGAAAGACAAAACTGCAGAAGACATGTTTGGCTATCATTAGAGATTTCTAAAATATGTTCTCTGAGACAAAACTGTGTTTTTAAAAGAAACCATTTAGTCTAAAGAAAAAAATACCAATAAAGAATTTATATATTTCTCAAGTTGTGAATATAGAGGCCCCAGAAGTGTTCCCCAGAGAAGATGATGGCTCCACTCAGCAGTTTCCTCTTTTGAGAACTGCCACAGAAATGCAATCCTTGAAACCAAGTTTGCAACAACAACCAAAAAAAAAAAAAAAAGAGGGGTAGGGTAGGTGGCATAAGCTTCCAACGGCTGGGAAAGCAGACAGACAGAGGAACAACAGAAAGAATGGTTGATACTGATAAGAGCTGTTCAGAAATACACTTTCTATTTCCTAGTATCTACGGCTGTGGTGCTGTGACTTCATCAGATACCGACATGACAACCCAGGTGATCTCTTCTAACTTGGCATTCCATTCCCTTTCCATGGGATGTCTAGCCAAAATTGTTACTACTAATCAAATGCTTAAACAGTTGTTTTTTGGGTATCAAGGTTGCATGGGGACAGCCTTGGCTTTAGGAAGAGAAGATGTTGCTGGACCTTTCTTCCACAAGTATCTATCCTAATGGATAAAATTGCCTCATGTCACCATGGGTTCTGAGTCCTCACCAGCAATGGCTGTATTTGAAGGTAAGTTTAAACCAGACATGGAGAAAGAGGAAGCCAAGAAGCTAGCAAGACTATCTCAACTGATATCTCAAATGATCTTGGGTCTGGGAAAAACACAGATCTCTATGTGATCAAGACCAAATTGGACTTTCTCTATTCATTTGATATGCCCAATAAGAGGAGCAGGTTTGGCAGGTACAAGCATGAGAAAGGGACACATTCTCACCAAGAAAGTGACTTCGGTGGAAAGTGAAGTGCTGGATGAAACAGTAAAGACAATGAAGACTTCCTTAAAAGGGCCTGTTCATCAACCAAACTACTGAACCAGAAGGTTTGGGGCTACCCCTATGTCCCCTTGTATAAGACAAGCTTATCACTAATAAAGATAATTTTATAAAAAAATAATTATAAATACACATATGTATATATTTGTTAGATTGTGTGTATACACACACACACACATGTTCTGTTTCCATTGAAGACAGAGTAAAAGAACTCAGTCTACTCAAAGGCCCCATCCAACTTTATATGAGGGAATCAGTTTAAATTTTAATTCAACACTAGGAAACTTTCCTTGACTTTAAATAACTAAAAAAATTCTAGAATGCTCTGACAAAGAAAGTTGTAATCACACCTTCATTTTTTTTTTAAAAAAAGGCAAATTATACTTCTGGGATAAGTAAATGTAATCCAGCTTGAAAGTACCTTCCAGCCCTGAAGGGACTTGAAGAATAAGGACAAGAAGAAATAATTCTTAAGAATTTAAATCTGTACAGCAATTTTCCCTGCTCAACAAAAAAAATCCACATCAGACTTTTCTAATTCAATGAGTTCAAAGTTTATAGTTGAAAGAAACAAAAATCAAAACACTTTAGTAGCTAATAATGGTAAACAAAAATAAATTCTTACATTCATTGAGGAGTTAATTTGAGAAATAGTTTCATCATCTGTTGGGAACTGGTATATCTGGACTCCATTGCTGACCAATTCACTCATCAGTTTGATCTTAAACTTCTGTAATTCAGTTTTAGAGATTGTATCTGCTTTGGCAATTACAGGAATGATATTTACCTTAAAAAAAAACACAAAGGTTATTTTTATATTTTTTTGTATAAAGCCTTTCCCATTCAAAATTAAGTCTGACCATAAATATTTTTATCTTGATAATCACGGGATCCTATATTTACAGTGTATCATTTTATGCACCACACAAACTACAGATGCTTACCTTCCAAATAGTATCAGAAAGACTAATGCTTTTTTAAGATTTAAGATCTCTTTCCATCTGTATCAGTCTACCTAGGTGCAGAAATCTTTTCTTTCCTGACTTCTCCTACTCCAAAAAGTTAACTGTTCAAATCTTTTTATCTTGTTTAACCCACAAGATAGTTCTACTTCCCTTTTTATTTAAATGCTGAGAGATCAGGACCAACCCTATGCAAGAAGCAATGTAAAATCTGCCTCTGCGCCCCTCCTCTCACACCCCCAAAGCAGTTATCTCTATGTGATGTGCCCCATTCCCCCCATGGCCCTTTTCCCAATTAGGTGTTAGTTTGCTTGCTATGCCTCCCAAGAGCATCTAAATTTTCATGTAAAGTTTTTAAATATTAAAAAGCCTCTGAGGCTCAAATGAATAAATATATGCTAGTACAATTTCAGATTCTCTGATAGGCTAGTAATGGGAAACATCCTTTGAGGAAGAAGGAAAAACTGCACAGCAATTTTGGCTATTCACTTTTAGAGGTGAGAGCTTCAAGCTATTACAGTAAAGTAACAGAGTCTGCAGCACAAAGCACTAAAATCGTACTCAGAGCCTATTTTTTGCTTTCTCATTTCCCCTCACTCACCATGTGATTTTTGTTTAACATCTATTTGCCCTACTGATGATAAATTGCCTATCAAGTGAATGTCAAAAATCTGACATCCAAGTTATTTGATTATAGAAATCTTTCAAAGGAAATTATGTCACTGCTATATGTGCCTTTGAAAACTTAACAGCATTCCACAATAAAAAGGAAAATACAACTCAGTTAACAGTTTTTATGGACCACTAAATGGAACATTACAATGCTTTTGTCAGTTTTAGTCAATAAAACTACATAAATCTTTAATGTGATTTGACTTTTGTGATATATCACAATGAGCTACAAGAAGTTTTCCTTTTGGGATGGTGTCAAATATTTCTTGAAATAAGTGAGCAATCAAGCAGGGCTTGAAAGTCTTCTGATTTTTTTTTTATTTTGTCAAGATTGTCATCTTACTCATGTTTGCTGGCATGGAATTTAGTTTCCAATATTCTTAACTACTAAAAGTACATCTAGAGAATAAAAAATATTGTAGGAGGGTAAATACTGGATACAGATAACAAAATACGGAAAATTTTCAAAACAAAAGTCTTTTTTTAAAGAACAATTACTATTGGATAAAATTATTGGAAAATTCCAGAGTATTTTTTCCCCTTTACAAAACAGATAATTCATTTTTTCATATATACCATTGATTTCACAGTATCAAACATGAATAGAGAATCTATAAAATGAAATGCTAAATTATACTTTAAAAAAAAAAACCTGATATCTGCATGAAAGGCCTAAATGAGAAAAACTATAGAGATAATCTATAAATTGAGGGCTCTTGGTACCTAATTGCCTAAAGAGCAACTCGCCCAGAAAAGATTTTCCACTGGCTCCCTATTATGTGAGCAAATCAATTTAACTTTAATCTATATGCTTACATGATTAATAATTTAGTTGACTAGGTACATGAAGACTCCTTAAACAGAAAAACTTCTTGGTGCCAAGAGAAATAAGATGATATTGAAACACTTTGCATTTAGAAAGTTCAAAACAGACATTTTTGTTAATTGTTAAGCAATTTGCTTAACAAATGAGTATCCTCTTAAAATGATACGGTATGCTTCTACTATTACAATATAAGTATTTTATATTTAAGTTAGGCAATTCTCTTCAATTTTTGCCTAGTGATATTTGGTATTTGACATTTGTTTTTTATTCAGTTTTCTGCTAATATACAGTGATTGCTGACTACAAATGGCTCATATTCATTTTTTGCACCTCCCTCTTCAGGTATGCTTGCTTCATTAATATAAAGCAGCTTTATGTTTCCTAATAGTAATGCTAACATTTATATATGTTACACAACTGTTAACTGGCTATGACATCTTTACTATTCTAAAGGGAACAATGAGTAGGTTTCACTGAGATTCTGCTAAAACCATTAAAATACTACAAGCATAAAATCTTTTTTTTCTCTAGTCAACAACCATAGAGTTGTTAACAGTCAACAACTATGGTGTTTCTGCACATTAATGAAGTCTCAGAATCAGAGTTTAACTCTTATTTCAACATTAGATTGAATTTACATTACAAACATCCCAGCTTTCTGCATCCTGCCTTCTCATTTGACCAGGAGCCATGACCATCACACATACTGAAACCTTCCTCTTCACACCATCTTCAAAACCATATCACCTAAGAGTTCGCTCAGTGAATTTCTTCCTCTTTTGCTCTTACTTAATAGTGCCAAGAGGTAAAGTTACAAGAGGTAATAGTGCCAAGAGGTTTAAAATAAGCATATTGCAATAAGTCACATTTTTTCTCTTTATATTTCAGTATGAAAGTAATTAATAGGTAATTGAATTCATTCTTCAAATATTTTTAAAAGATATCCTAATATAAAGATATTAATTAGGGGATATTAAGATATCAAAAAATTTAAAATATCTCAATCATTGAATAAATGAAAAATAATGAATACATACTCACAAATAAGAATGATTTAAATATATGTAAGTGCATTTTAAAAATATATATGTATATATTTATATGATTAGCACCTACATAAATAAAAAGAATAGTAAATAGGTAAAGTCATAAAATCTGCTGCTTTCTAAATCTTACCTTACTATCAAGGCTCTTCATGGTTAACAAATCAAGTGTCTTAAGGGAATGTCCCGTAGGTGAAATAAAGTAAAGGCAAGCATGGATACGAGAATCATGGTAGTTAAAGAGGGACCTTTTTATCTTCAATTCTTCTTGGAGATAGGCCTCAAATTGAGCATCTATATAATCAACTATTGGCTGATAGCTGGAGAAAAAAACACAATTATTCAAGTATTTTATACACATATTCATGTCTAGTAAGATATTTCAGTTATACTACAGCAAAGATGTGTGCTAAATCAACAATTTTTGCAACAGAATACAGTGTGCTTTCCTTCCTATACAGGGTTAAAGTGACTGACCCATCAGAAAAGTACACACTTTTTGAACCATTTCCAGAGGAGGTCATGGATGGTCCTCATTCATACATTCAGCAAGACCTCACCGTGATCCAGGTTCACATCTGCAAGATCATTGGCTCACTGTGAAGTTACAATCCATGGCCACTGATTGAAGTAAAGTAGCTGGCATGTCACTGATGTGTTTGGAAGAATGGCTGGCCACAAGGAAGTTAAAATGTATTCATGATGCCAAAAGTAGTTTCTTTCCTTTTGTACAGAGAGATGTATTAGGAAGAAAGCACCCTTAACGAGAAGTACCTGCTTGAGGATATTGATGCTTAATTTGTAATTTGGAGTTTTATACAAGGAAACCATATTAGATCTTATCTATTCTTTCCTTCTTGCTTTTACTTACACTGCACCCTCCCTCTCCCACTGAAATGAACATCTGTTAATCAAATGATTTTTAGTTTGGTTTTTTTTTAAACAAGTCTGAACAAAAACAAAAAAAAAGATTTTTTTAATGCATCAAAAGGAATTTCCACTGTAAATGTAAATACCTACTATCAGAGAAGCTTCTGGTTAATCATTCAACTGCTCCCTGAGCACTTACATGAATTACTCATTTGCAAATATAATAACTTAAAAAGAATACTTAATAATTCATTTGCAATGAAATTAAGACAGAATCCTAATCAGACCATTTAGCATGATACTCATCCATAATAATAGAACTACAAAAAAGTAGAGCACAGTAGGAGATACATATCACTGTACACAAACCTGAGATATAAAGATCACAAATTCAAAAAGAAATGAGGACTATTCACTTTTCAAAAAAAATTTACTACTACATAAAAAGACATAAAATAGGAATTCTTTAAGTTCCAAACTCCCCCTGGTTCAATTATTATAAAATTCAACTTCCTAAAAAGCTGTAAATACAATTTTTTAAAAAATAACTGTTACATGAAAAAAAGGTATCCTTATGCCTACTTCAGGGATTTACTCCACAATAGAATGTTGTTTATTTACATCATTCTGATACAATCACATCCTGTTTAAATTGTTATGGGAACCTAAAAGTTTCCATATTTACCATCTTCATTTGGTTCTAATCATTGTGTTAACATTCAACATCTGTCTCTATCTTCTACAGAGTCCACATAAATGACTTCTTAATACTTAAGGTAAAATAATTAAAAATGTTAAAAAAAATGTTTTTACTCTAAATCTAATTTTCACATAAGTGAAAGATTCACTTTTCCTTCATTCAAACATTTTATTAAGCACCTGCTAAAGTTCAGGTTGGGAGTGTCGTGAGGGGGCAGGTAGGTGTTGAAGTGGATAAAACACCAGGCCTAGAGTCAGGAAGATTCATCTTCCCAAGTTCAAATATGGCTTCAGACACTCGTTAACTGTGTGACTGTGGGTAAGTCACTTAACCCTGTTTGCCTCTAGTTCTCTTATCTGCAAAATGAGCTGGAAAAGGAAATGGCAGATCACTCCAGTATCTTTGCCGAGAAAACCCCAAATGGGGTCAAAGAGTTAGAAATGACTGAAACAACTGAAAAAAGTTGAGGTACTGTTCTAGTCAATGGATATGATACAAACAATATGATCCCTACCCCAAAGTCCTTAAAACAGGAGAGGATTTAAGAAATGGACAAAAATAACAATATAAAATATAACATGATAAAAGCATAACAGAGGTAAAGAATATAACTGCCATACCAGACAGACAGATCGCTGTTCTATGAAAAGTTTTAAAAATTGAATACTTCAAATGATTAACATAACTTTAAATAAATATTATATCAACAAGGAAAAACTAACCTCTCTTCTTTATTTATCTGGTCACCAAATCCCACTGTATTGACAACGGTCAGTTTCAGTCTAACACTGCTTTCTTGGAGCTCATATGTCTGTGCTTTAAGTCTGACATTTGGGTGAAAGTGTGAAGATTCAAAATCATCAAAATTTGTGTTAAACAATGTGTCGATCAGAGTTGATTTTCCAATTCCAGTTTCTCCTAAAATGAAAAGCAACTTCATAAATATATCTAAGCACCATAGTGAGGTAAGAAACAACAAAAATCCAATGGATGGCTTCAGGACTCCCAACCACTGGAAAGAATGGTTTAACAGCAATAATTGCTAATAATAGCTAACATTTAGATAGCACCTACTATGTGTCAGCTGTGTTAAGCACTTTACATTTATCATCTCATTTGATCCTCACAATAAGCCTAAAGGGTAGGTGCTATTGTCTCTATTTTACAGCACCCTCCACAGCCCATCAGATTCCCATTAACCACCAAAATGAACATACATGGAACATACCAGAACTCTGGGAAAGTAGTAAAATGCTTAAAGAACTTAAGTGTTATATTTCAATAATTCAAGTGCTATCTTGATTAATTTTAAAACTCTAGGCCACTGTCTCAAATCAAAATTGTCATCATAAAACTATGATTTAAAGAGTGGTTTCCAAATGGCTTTGAGTATAAGGACATCTTTATAAAGCCAAAAAAATTTAGCAGACTCCCACATGACAGGGGCTACACTGTCAGTATATGTTGACTGATGAAAATAAGTGTTGATAAAAAGCTACTATCAATTTTCAGTAAAATTTTATTTTCATCATTCACATCTACATAAACTCCAAAAGCATTCATTCTGTCAACAGCAGGTACATTTGTTTGCTGAGTTACACATTCATTTTGTTGAAACTAAATAAAGATCAAAATGTCAGTACTCTGTGCATATCAGGACAATTCCTGCACTTCCTAGGTGTCCCATATCCCACAGGTTAGGCACTGGAACTAGTGTTAAATTGGCATTTGTGATTTTTAAAAAAGAGACTTTATATTGTATGTTTTGGGAATGTTAGAAAACTTCAAGAAAGTTTGGCACTTACCCACACACAGAATGTTGAAGCAAAACCCTTGTTGAATGGACCTGTTGACTAACTGATCAGGCAAACTTTCAAAACCAACATGACCATTAATAGTTAAACAACGAGGAATATCATCCTGAGTATAAGAAGAAATCTTTAATTAATGTAGAATATGATCATTTTAAAAAAGATTTCATATTACTATTAATGGGAAAAATTAGTTTCCAACTTTACCTTATTCTTCTACCTGTATGATTCTGAGCCAGTTACTTAACCCCCGCTGGACCTCAGTTTCTTAATTTGTAAAATGAAGGCTTTAGAATAGATGACCTCTAAAGTCCCATTCCCACTCTAAATTACATGACCACTCTATTCTGAGATTCAAATGGAATAAATCCATAAGAAAAACCTTTATCTATAGAACATATCAAAAGAGCCAACTCCCCAAATATTCTTCTTTCATAGATACTTTTTGTACTTTGACTTCAAATAATACAATGAAATCTTGTTCTAATTGAAAACGGTTTATATTCCTTAGAAAGTGAATCTACCTTGGACCCCTAGCCAAGAAAAGCTACTTTCTAAACTATCAAAAATACTTCAGTCACAGCATTACGACCCTACCCTAAAGGGCTGAGGTGGGATATTGTTCATTATTAATCTCCAGATATAAGACCCTTTACTATTATTACATATACTAAATAGGGATCCTATAAGCAATATACCTAGATAAGGGATGTGAGTTAAGTCTCATCAATCTGATAAAACAAAATCAGTAGAATCAGTACACCAGGGAAAGGTGTAATATGTGCTATTCATTAGATCCACTGTGTTTGCTTATGCCAAAGAACTTCAATTAGGGGTTGTGTTTCAAACACTAGTAAAAACTCTGATAATATTTTACATACTCACTGGAAACTAACATTAATAATAGTAAATTCTAAAAATAGGTTGGTGACCAAGATAATAGCCTAAAAACTAGAAAACATTACATTACAAAAACATCACAAACATTACATTTACAAAGTCAGAAACAGGGATGTATATTTGGTATTGATAAACTTAGAGGTTCTGATTTAATTGAGCCTTTTAAGACAAACGAATTCTTCAAGGAAAAGAAAAGGGAAGCTAAGAATTGACTTTACCAGAATGCCCAGTTAGGGAATGGAAGAGTTAACAAAGGAGATGAAGAAGAGGTAATTCAGAGAAGTAGAAAAAGGACAAATAAGGATAAGCATATAAGGGATAGGTAATTCCTGAGAATGAAAAAACCAGTAAAGCAAAAGAATTTGGAAATAGGAGGCCACTGCTGACCTTATGAGAGGTTGTTGCAATAGTGATGAGGTCAGAAGCCAAGTATCTAAGAACTGAGCAAATAATATGTAAACCATTCAACTCAACAAACATTTATTAATCAACTACTGTGTGCAGAATACTGTACTAAGCTATATGGAAAGATACCAAACTTAGATAAAACACAATCCCTGCAACTCATGGAGTTTACATTCCTATTAAGAAGATAATACATGAACAGAGAAGCAAAATGTAAGTACATCATAGCGGCTTATAACATAGTATATGTAAGGTCTAAGAGGGAAAATCATATTTAATGGAAAATACAGAATTATCAACAAAAGGAAAGGATTCAAGTGGGCAGTGGCATGTAGTTAAGGTTTTAGAAGATGAGTAGGACTACTCAGGGAGAGAAAACATACTCCGTATTATAGGGAATGAAGTAAGCAAAAGGAGGGAGGCACCCACATTCTAAGGGGAGGGAACAGTCTATTTTGAAGAAGAGATCATGGTACTCTAGGAAGATAGTAATGCAGGCATGTGTTAAAGTGATGGCAATGAGAAGAGAAGAGGCAATGAATGAGAGAGATATCATAGAAACTGAACAGATAGAACCTAGTTAATGACTGGATAGGAGAAAAAGTAGAAAATAAGTCAAATATAACACCAGTGTTTCAAATATGAGGAACCAGGTTAATGGTAGTGATGTTCAGGAAGTTTAGCAATGAAAAAAGAGAGGTAGCTTGAAGAAAAAAGCTAAAGTTGGGGTTTTTTGGAGGGGTTTCAAAATAGGAATGTCTAACTTACACAGAAGGGATAGAAGTCAATGGAAAAAAAACATTGAGCAATAAAGAAGCATGGTTAAACCAGTTGCAATGCCATACCAATTAAACTACCAAAAAATTACTTTATGGAGCTAGAGAAAAAAACTATAAAAAAATTAATCTGGAATAACAAATGTCAAGAATATCAAAGGAATCAATCAAAAAATGTGAAGGAAGGTGAGCTAGCCATGCCTGATCTCAAATTCTATTATAAAGCAGTAATCATCAAAACAATCTGGTACTGACTAAGAAATAGAGTGGTGTATCAGTGGATCAGATTAAGTACACAATACATTATAGTGAATGATCATAGTAACATTGTTTGAAAAACCCAAAGATCTAAGCTTTTGGGACAAAAACTCATTATTTGACAAAAAACTGCTAGGAAAACTAGAAAACAGCATGGCAGAAACTAGGTATAGACTAGTATCTCATACTTACACCAAGATAAGGTCAAATTGGGTACATGATTTAGACATAAAGAGTGATATTATAAGCAAATTAGAAGAGCATGTTTACCTGTAAGATCTATGGATAAGGGAGGAATTTAGGACCAAACAAGATATAAACAGCATTACAAAATGTAAAATGGATAATTTTTATTAAATTATCTATAGTCATATGGAAAAAATGCTCTATAATTGATTAAAGAAATGCAAATTAAAGGAACTGAGTACTACTACCTCACACCTATCAGATTAGCTAATATAACAGAAAAGGAAAATGATAAATGTTGGAGAGGATGTGGGAAAACTAGGACATTGATGCACTGTTGGTGGAGTTGTGAACTGATCCAATCATTCTGGAGAACAATTTGGAACTACGCCCAAAGGAACTATGCATACCTTTTGATACAGCAATACCACTACTAGGTCTGTATCCCAAAGAGATTTTTAAAAAAGGGGGGGGGGCTGGAGTGGGGAGAAACTATTTGTACAAAAATACTTATAGCAGCTCTTTGTGGTGACTAAGAATTAGAAATTGAGGGGATGCCCTTCAACTGGGGAATGGCTGAACAAGTTGTGTTCTATAATTGTAATGGAATATTATTGTGCTATAAGAAATGACAAGCAGGATCATTTCAGAAAAACCTGGAATGACTTAAATGAACTAATATAGAGTGAAGTGAGCAAAACCAGAAGAGCACTGTATACAGTAACAGAATTTTGTATGATGAAGAACTATGAATGACTTAGCTATTCTCAGCAATACAATGATTCAAGACAATCCTAAAGGATACACAATGAAAAATGTTTTCCACTTCCAGAGAAAGAACTGATGGTGTCAGAAAACAGACCGAAGCACACTATTTCTCTCTCTCTCACACACACAAAATGTCTGGCCTATATCAGATTGCTTACCATCTCAGGGAGAGGGGAGAGAAGTGAAGAAGGGATATAATTTAGCACTCAAAGCTTTAAAAAAATGAATGTTTAAAATTGTTTTTACATGTAATTCAGGGAAAAAATAAAATATTATTTAAGAAGCTAGTTGCCAAGGGGCAGCTAGGTGATGCAGCGAATAGAGCTCCAGCCTTGGAATCAGGAGGACCTGAGTTCAAATCTGACGTCAGACACACACTTACTAGCTGTGTGACCCTGGGCAAGTCACGTAACTCCAATTGCCTCACAAACAAAAAAAAAAAAAGCTAGTTGCAATGATTTATATCATTGAAAAGAAATTTTTAATGCTCTAATTAGTCTTCCTCCCTTTAAATCCAAATTAACGATATATTAAACTCACTGTGTTATTAGAGAACAAAATAACATAGGGCTGAGAAGGCCCTTTAGTGGTCATCAAGTCTAATCCCTCAATGAGACATCCCTAGACAGGTATCCTATCTGTTTACATATCTCCAAGGAAAAGAGAGCTTTCTTCTGCCCCACTTAGGGCAGTTTTCCCCCCACAGACTGATAACTTTATTATTTACACATTTCTAAGACTACATCCATCAAAATAATGCTGCTCTTTGCATTTAGTGCTAAAGAGATCTGGTTGTGCTTTTCTTCCACTTTTGGTGTGAAGTATGAATATGTATTTTACCTGGATGAGATGGTTTTTAGATCAAAAAGTCTGAAAAGCTTCACCAATTATTAAATTCATCATTAAGTCAAGAACACATTTACAGATAAGTTAAAACCAAGTATGAGTCTCTATCATATAAGTGAGCTACCAGGCCTCTTGGTTAAAATCAAATCATGGTATCGTATTTAAAGCATAACTCACAATCATGTCATTAATTAAAACATATACTCACTATTTTTTCTTCTTTGCCTGACTGTGAGGTAGAACATGTTTTTATTCCAAGAGACTGATAGACCTGAAAATTAAAATTAAAAACTTTTTAAAAAACCCACAAAAATACAAAAACAAGTAAAAAATAATTATGGTAAACAGGAAACTAATTTTTATATAACATTATCTCCAAAGAGAAGGAGGAAAGAAGAGGACAGGGTCTAAACTTGATTTCATCAGACTAAGGGATTCCTGGCAAAAAAAATTTACTTTACCAAGGCAGATCAGCAACTTGCTTATCACTTATGACTGTGCAAAGTTTTTAAGTAGGCAGAACCAGATTAAAATATAATTAAGAGAAGATTCTGGGAAGATGATGGAGTAGGTCAGAAAACTTTTGGCTCTCAATTTCCTCCACAAAAAGAACATCACCTCAGAGTCAATGCAGAGCAGCAGAAATAATGGGAGGCTAGGTAAAGCAGTTGTCCTCTCAAGACAACTTGAGAAGACCCCATGAAAAACTAGGCCTCAGTGGCTGGAGTGAAGTACAAATACCTCCAGGCCTTATGAAATCAACAAACAAGCCCTGGGAGTAGCTGGGGTTGAATGGCAGCCTCAGCCTCGGGAATTTTCACCTCACTGAGAGTGCCTGTGGGAAGGCTAAGCAGGAGAAGAGTGAAGGACCTTCCATTATCTAGAGACACTAACTACAGCTATGCTAACCTCACACCTCAGGACTAGAACTTGATTATATTAATAGTTGCTAAAAACAAAAATAAAAATGAGTTAGCAAAGGAGAAAGAACCCAATCATAGATAGCCAATACTACATAGATAGCTATCCACTCCTTTTTCATTGAGAATTGTCAAATAGCCTCAAGTCCAAAAACAGTACTTTAAAAATCAAATAAGAGATCAAGGGAAAAAAAAATCAGGGAAAAAATAAGAGCAATTCAAGAAAAGTATGAAAAGAAAGTCAACCAACTAGAAACAGAGAACCAAAAACTTAAGGAAGAAAATAATTCCTTGAAAACAAGAATTGGGCAAGGAAAGCTAATAATGTTATAAGATACCAAGAAATAAAAAATATAATAAAATATAATAATATAATGAAAAATGAAAAAATTACTAGAGAACTTGAAACATCTCATCAGAAAAACAACTGATCTGGAGAGGAGATTGAGGAAAGACAATCTAAAATTAGTTGGACTACATGAAAGTTATGATCAAAAAAAGAATCTTGATACAATATTACAAAAAAACTTATCAAGGAAATCTGACCTGAAGTTCTAGAACAAGAAGGGAAAGCAGAAATGAGAAAAATTCCACCAATCACTGCCTAAAAGAGATCCCAGGAAGAAAACTTATAGGAATATCATAGCCAAGTTTCACAGCTCCTAGGTTAAGGAAAAAATATTGCAAGCAATAAGAAAAAAAAATTAAATATCATGGAGCTACAATAAGAATTTTACAAGACCTAGCAACTACTACATTGAAGAACTGTAGGTCTTAGAATACTATATTTCCTAGAGCAAAAGAGCTGGGATTATGACCACGGGTAATTTAGCCAGCAAAGTTAAGTATGATCCTGAATGAAAAAAAAAATTAACTGAAAGACTCTTTAGGTATTTATGACAAAAACAGCAGAACTTAAAATTCAACATATAAAATCTAAGAGAAATATAAGGTAAACATTAAAAACCAAATATGACTAATGTCAAATTGTTTACTTCTTATATGTGAAAATGTTATCAGTATTCTTATCACTGTCATCATTATTTGGGTAGTTTGAAAGAAAAGCTTGGGCTGAACCAAGTATGATAGGGTGATTCTAAAAAAATAAAACTGTGTAGGGAGAGATAAAAAAGAGTAATTATCTCATACAAATGAGAGATGAAAGGAAGAAATGATACAGAAGAAAAAAATCAGGGGGAGGGTCGGTAGTGCTAGAACCCATCACGAGTGGGTTAAAGAGGAAACAGCATATAGATAGGTATATAGATATAGACAGACAGGCAACAGACAGATGCCATGAAAGTCTTCTAAATTCAGAAAGAAATAAGAGGGATAGGGGATGGAGGGGAGAGGATAAGGGAGGAACTCTTAGAAGGGTGGGTATGTTAAGGCATAGGAAGGCAGGATAGAAGTAAATTAGAGGAGCAAGGGTGGATAGTGTAATAGGGTGAGAAGAAAAGCAAGGAAAAATAGGAAGGAGGGAAATACATAAGTAATTATAGCTTATGGGATAAATTTACCCATAAAATGGGATGGAATAAAGTTACCCATAAAATGAAAAAGGACAGCAGATTGAAATTTTGAATTCAACAATATGTTGCTTTCAGGAAACACAATAAAAATGAGAGATATACACAAAGGCTGGAGTAGAATTTATTATGTAAAAAAAAAAAAAACCCTAGGGGTAGTAATCATGATCTCAAAGTTAAAGCTAAAATAGATTTAATTAAAAGATAAAAATAAGGAAACATACACTATGTGTCACCAATATTATTCAATAATGTTTTAGACCATTTAAAATAACTAGACAGTATTAAATACCTGAGAGTACACCTGCCAAACAAACACAGGAACTACATAAACATAAACACAAAACATTTTCTATAAAATAAAGTCAGATTTAAATAACTGGAGTAATGTTTATTGTTCTTGGGTAGGTAAAACCAATATATTTTTAAAATGACAATTTTACCTAACTAATCTATTTATTCAATGTCATCCCAATTAAATTACTAAAAAAAAAAAAAAATCTTACTAGTTAGAAAAAAAAGTTCATTTGGAAGAATAAAAGGTCAGGAATGTCAAAGAAACCAGGGAAAAAAGATGAAAAGGAAGGAGATTCAGACATTAACTCATTGTTGAGGTATAAGATGAATAATTTCAATCATTTTAAATTAAAATTTATTATATAAAGCCAATGTAGCCAAAAATAGAAGAAATATAGAAAATTGTGAAGAAACTTTCATGGACAACCTTTCAGATAGGATGTGATTGTGTTGGAATACTGCTGTGGTATAGGAAATGATGAATTGATTTAGAAAAACATAGGAGGCAGCTAGGTGGTGCAGTGGATAAAGCACGGGCCCCAGAGTCAGGAGGAGCCAAGTTCAAATCCAGCCTCAGACACTTGACACTAGCTTTGTGACCCCGGGCAAGTCACTTAATCCCAACCTGCAGCCCACAGTGATCTCTATTTTGAATTTTACACCATTTGAATTTTACACTGAGAGTCTAAGTGACTTGTCCATGGTCATATTGCTACTGCCATGTGTCAGAAACGGGGCTTAAACCCAGCTTCTCATTGAATAGCCAGCCTTCTATGCACTCACTATATTATATAAATATTTGTAGAGTATATACATACCCAAAAACCAACTTTCCAGGAAGCTGTCAAGATGATATTTCTGAAGTATAGATATGATGTCATATCACAGTGACCATACCACCACTCTCCCACTCAAATCTTCAATGGTTGGTTATTGTCTTTCAGATAAAATATACAACCTTCAGTCTGGCATTTTGAAGTCTCCCTACTGTCTGACTCCCACCTACCTTTCTGGTTTTTCTTCATATTACTTTTTCACACTCTTCCTATCACCTACCTTGCAGAATTGACACCCACTTGGCATAGTGCCTGGCACACAGTAGGTGCTATATAAATGCTAATTCCCCTCCCTCCTAGTGAAATTGGCCTAATTGCTCCCCATACATCTCACAGAACCCCAAGCTTCCTACTAAGTACAACTCAGGTACAACCTCTTATACAAAAAGCCTTCCCTCACCCTTTCATCTTGGGTTTTTAGTGTTCTCTTTCCCTTAGAACTACTTGGCATTAACTTGTATATCTATGCAAAAATAGCACCTACTCCTCAAGGTTGTTTTCAAGATAAAATGATACTATTTGTAAGGTACTTTGCTATCACCTTACCTGGAAGCTAGCTGGCACAGCAGATGGAGTATTGGGCCTACAGTCAATACTCATCTTCTGTGTTCAAATCTGACTTCAGACACTTACTAGCTATGTGACCTTGGGCAAGTCACTTAAATAGAATTAAGTTTCCTCATCTGTAAATGAGCTAAAGAAGGAAATGGCAAACCACTCTAGTATCTTTGCCAAGAAGAGTCAGATACAACTGAACAAAAAAATCATCTTACTATTATTACTGTGAAGGGAATTATGATTTTTATAATAATCAATATATGTGAGCATTGTCAAAGTTTGATTTAGCATTTAAGCTGTATTGTAAGTCTGACTCACAAGAGAGGAAATTCCAAAAAATCTAATCTATTAGTATATTTATTACACATATCATATTGATTATGAAAATCATAGTTCCATTTATATTACATATCATATCTCTCCAGAAAGATACAAGTTCCTTGAGGGCAGGGAATGTGTTTCATTGTGTCTTTGTATCTAATGTGCCTTCATGTAGTAGGCACTTAACAAATATTTGTTCAAGTATTTTCTGTAAAAGGTAAAATTAGTAATTTACCCTAGAAGTACAAGCAAAGAGAAGGAAGAAACTCAGGGATGCTTAAGTTTATATTACAGTATTACTGGTTAGGGGGTGGGGGGTGGGAAACAGTGGTGATACATATCATAATATGCTCCTTTATCCTCTCTCCTTCCTTGACTTCTGTGAAACTGCTCTTTCCTGATTCTCTTCCTTCTTGCCCGATTGTTCCTTCACAGTCACTCACCATAGGCAGTTCCATCATCCATCTCTTACCACCTAATTGTGGGTTGGTTCTGTTCTAGGCCTTCCTTTCTTTTGTCTCACCACTGTCTCCTTTGGTGACCTTACCAGTTTCCATTAGTTTAACTATCTCTAAGCAGATGACTACCAAATATATTTTTTCAACCCTAATCTCTCTCAAATTCCAATCCCACAACTGAGTAATGGACATCTTCACCTAGATCAGTCAACAAACATTTATTAAACACTTACTGTGTGTCTGATCAGTGCTAAGCACTGGAAATTCAAAAAAAAGTGAAGTCATGATGCTTCCCCTCAGAGATCACATTCTAATGGGGACACAACATGTAAACAACTAGGTACACACAAGA